ATTCCCAGCTCCGGAGGCCGCTATTCTGAAGGACCAAAAAGGGTCAAAAGAGACAGCCTCTACGGGAAGGAGCACATCAAGGACAGCCACCACGTGGAAGATGACAGTTGCAAGCAAGAGTGAAAGTCAGGACTGGTGGTCTTGCTCCTAGCCGCCAGCACAGTGAGGAGCCTCCCAGCGTCCTGCAACGGGGGCGGGGCGGTGTGGCCATCGGCTTTCTTGGGAAAGCCTGCCGGAGCCAAGCTAGAGGTCCAGGCAAGACCAGCGCGACCTGCCCTCTTGCCATCCCCTACCTGCCCACGCCGACTCTCTGTCCTCTTCGCCGATGTCTTGGCCTCCCAGAGCCTGTCTGCAGGTTGTCAAGCTTCCATGATCGGCCCGGCGTCCAGCACTTTTTCTGTCTCCGCCGACCCGTCACCGGTGCTCTTCCCCCGGAAGCCTCCCACCGTTGCACTTGAGTTCCGCCTACACAATGTTCCCTCTCTGCTTTCACAACCTCCCACCTAGAGTGGAGCTGTGGAGGGAGGAGAGGGTCTCCTCCGGGCTGCAGCCCCGAAACTGGGAGGAAAGGCAAGTAAAACATGGGGCCTGAGGAATGTGGCGTAGTGATTCTAAGGCCCATACAGTAGCCACCACTTTCACTATCCCGGGACAAAAGCCACCCACCCCTTTGGCTGAACTTCCTACAGGCAACTGCAGCTACCCTGGCGTCCTGAAAAACATTAAGCCTGAACACATTACTTATTGAACTACTTTTCTATGTGACAGGAGTTGTCCATATTTATCTTGTCGGATTCTCCTACAACTACGATCTGTATAAAATATTCCCATGCTAACTAATGCTAACAGTCCAGGTCGGTAAGTGGTAGTGTGGGAATCCAGGCTCTTTGAAGCCAAGCACAATACTCTTAACTTCTATGGTGAAAATGTTTACAAAGAAGCAGATGGAGACGGGAGAGATGGCGCGGCAGTTGAGAGCTTTCACTGCTGCAGAGGACTGAGGCTGGGTTCTCAGTACACACATGGCAGCTCACACCCACCTGGAAGTCTGGTGCCAGAGAAATGTAAGGCCCTTTTTTGTGCTCCTCATATACTGCATTCACAGGATACACATACACTCAAGAACACGCACACACATTAAAAATAAGCAAATAAATCTTTATAGATTTTTAAGCAGTTGATGGACCTAGAGAAGTGGGTCAGAGGTTAAGAGCACTGGCTGCTCTTCCAGAGAACCCGAGTTCAATTCCCAGTACCCGCAGTAGCTTTCACCTGTTTGTAACTCTAATTCCAGGAGATCCAACCCCCGCTTTCTGACTTTCAGGCGCCGTACACATGTGGTACACAAACATGTATGCAAGCAAAACACCCATAAACATTAAAAATGTTTAATTTAAAATAAAAATAAAGTTTTAACAGTTGAGTTAGGCCAACGATGGTTCTGTAAGCAAAATGGCTTTCACGGCATTACATTTGGTACCCTAAGAGATAGCCAAGTGCTGCCATTAAATAGTTAAATAGATTTCTTTAAAGTATATGCCACAGATTTTCAGATCCTAAAGACACGAAAAAAGCCCATTTCACTTGGTATGAAGGAGGCCAGCACCAACCAATTCACTCTTTAAAAAAAAAAAAAAAAAAAAAAAAAAAATTGCATCTAGTAGCTGTAGTGAGAGAACTGGCTGTTCTAGAGGAACCAGGTTCAAATGATTACACATAAAATAAACAGGTTTTTCAATATCATTTTAAATATCATCTGTTGTGTTCTAGCAAGAAATTCAGAAGGTTATATGAAGGTGGAAAAAAGTTCTTGCCCTCAAAAAAAAAAAAAAAAAAAAAACCTGAGGACTGGGAAGATGGTGCAGTGCTCTCGTTGAATACCCGGGTCCAGTTCTTGGCACACACATGACCGTTTAAAACCATCCATCATGCCAGTTCCAAGGGATTTCACACACTCTCTGGTCTCCAAGGAAGCCAAGCACATATAAGGTGCACATACACACATGGAAGCAAAATGCTCATATACATAAAAAAAAAAAAAAACTAAAACAAATTTCTTTTAATCTTTACTGGGGATGGGATGTAGGTAAGGCTCTTGCCTAGCATAGGCAAGTTCTCAGGTTCAGTCCCCAATACTGATACAACAAAAGAGATAATATCTATTTTAAAAGACACTACTGCTGGGCATGGTGGCACACTCCTTTAACCCCAGCACTCAGGGAGGCAGAAACAGATCGCTATGAGGCCAGCCTGGTTTACAAAGTGAGTCCAGGACAGTCAAGGCTACACAGAGAAACCCTGTCTCAAAAAACCCAAAGAGAGAGACTTGTAAGAAAATAAAGACATGTCACAGCCTTGGAAAAGACATTTCTAAAGTATATGTAAGAAAAAGGCGGTCTGTATGACTATGTTATGAACTACAAATCAGTAGGAAGTAGAAATACCTAATTTCAAAAAGTAGGCAAAAGCCTTAAACAGGCATCTGACAAAAAGGCCATTCAAATAGGCAGTTAAAGTGGTCAGCATTAAAAAAAAAAAAAAAATAGAAATGCATACTTCAAGGAAATACTACATTTGGCCAGAATGGCTAAAAGTAAAAAGACAAATGTCCAGTGTTAACAAGAACAAGCAGCAACTGGAACTTTCCAACACAGCCGGCAAAAGCCTCAGTTCTACAAACCCTTTAAAAACTAGCAATATCTACTATCACTGACCATATGCATATTCTCAAGGCTAACAGCTTTTTTCCTAAAATCTATGCAATGTGTCAACAACAGGAAGCCTACAGGATTGCTCACTTCAAAATGTATTTCTTTAATGGTAAAACTAAGATGCACATAAAGAAGAGATTTATAAGAGAGAAACTCTGTGGTTTATACATACAACTTGCCAACTGAAAAAAAAATGGTGCAAACACAAACACACCAATTAGCAAGAAAACCACTCACACTGTATAATCACATTTAAGTGAAATCTACATACAAATTCAAATACTGACAAGATATCTAACAGCCATAAAAGCAGAGGAGTGGTTTATTAGCTCCAGATATGAGGACGCAGTGCTGATTGAGAAAAGGCATAATGAGTGCTGGAAATGTTCTGCATCTTGATTTGGGTGTCATTGATGTGTGTATGTACCTTCTCTCACCAAATGTATGACGTCTCATTAACAAAGATAACTCAGGACTAAAAAATTTTACCACGAAAGAAAAGTCCTTATCCTTTAAGTCAGTGGTTCTCAACCTTCCTAATGTTCTCTTTAATACAGTCCTTCGTGCTGTTGTGACCCCCAACCATAAAATTATTATCACTGATACTTTATAACTATAATTTTTCTGTTATGAATCATAATATAAACATTTTTAGAGATAGAGGTTTGCCAAAGGGGTTGTGATAAAAACTAAGTTAAAATGCCACTTCTACCACAAAGTTTTGCCAGCTGTTATAAATCACTTCATCAGTGGCATTCTAATGTATTCTTTTATGGCATTTATCAACTCCATCTTGAATCCCTTTATCTTCCTGAAGAGTTATGTATCCTCCAAAAAACAGTGACTTATCTTTCACTTAACTCAGTACCTGACCAAAAACAAAGTTTTCTGAATTAATTGGAAGAAAAAACCAAATGGGTGGATGCTCAAAGGAGTATGGTGGGAACAGGAACAGGAAGGAAGCCTAGAAAAGGACATGGGTGTCTCCAAGGAAACAGAGGGTTAAACCAACTTTACCTACTTTCTGGAAAAACACACACACACACACACACACACACACACACACACACACACAGTAAATGTCAACTTGAAAGACAAAAACTCAAGTCAAAACAGTGGTGGTGCACACCTTTAATACCAGCACTAGGGAGGCTGAGGCAGAAGGATCTCTGTGACTTCGAGGCCAGACTGATCTACAGAGTTCCACGACAGCCAGCATTACATAGAGAAACCCTATCTTGAAAAACAAAAACAACAAAAAAGACCTGTCTAGGTTGAAGATAAAGAACCATCACACTAGCTCCTTTCAGGAAATCCACCAAATAAATATTCTCTGGGTGTTTCAACACTAGTTGGGAAAACTGCTCATTACAAAGAAAAACAATCACATTGTCATGGTTCTAAAAATATCCCTCCCTAGTACGGAGCAAAGAGACTACACGGCAGGTCAGTAGACTTAAAGCCAGATTCTGTCTCAACTTGCTGTGATCTGTGGCCAGTCTCTGCCCCACCAGGCCTCAATTTCCTCATATTTAAAAATAAAAGATTGGACTGGCAAATTCTTTTAAGTCTTCCTGTACTGACATTAATATACAATCCTTAGCTCCCCAAGTCCGAAGTAGAAACACAACATAAATCCTGCAAAACACGTAAAAATGCACCCAAGGCTAATAAACTGGCACTATTTGAGGAAGTCATTTTGTTCTATTATATTTCATGGCTTAATCCGTGGTTTTGTTAGTTCTTTGCAGTCTTACCATGGTTTGCAGACTTCTGAATTCCATGTAAACAGAAGCTAATTGTTGGTGGGCTGTCATGTCTCCGAGGTAAAAGAGGGCCTTCCCGCCGGGTTTCAAGTTAAAAGGACTGAGAAACCAACCACGCAGGCTGGGTTCCAAATATGCGCACAGTGCGCGGCACACTGGAACCTAAGTTAAAAAGACGGGGCGCAGAGTATGCTGGGATTTGTAGTCCCTGGCCTCTAGTGGCGTGCTGGGATCGCCCGTGCTTCCTGAGATGCTGGGAAATGTAGTTTCTCCACCTTGCACAGTGCAGCCTGCTATAGTCTCAGACCGTTAGTGCGCCCAACAAAAGAGAGCAGGCTCCTCAAGCCCCTGAAGATTTCAAGCATCGCTCCGCTGGGACAAACTCTAGGCAACAACACGAATGAATATTCTCTCCTCCGGGACTCCTCCAAGAGGGCCTTTCCTACCGACGCTCTCGGTCCATGAGCGAAGCCGCTGAGCGTTGCTATTGGCCATTCCGGATGCCAATCGCCAAGGGTGGCTTACTATTGGTTTCAGGGCGGGAGCTGCACGACTAGTGGAAAGGAGAAGGGATCAGGAGCGGGAGCTAAGGGGAGGGAGAGGCCGGTTCGGGTCTAGCCGCTACCGCTGCTCGCCTGAGGTTTCCGCGTGCTGCGGCTCTGTCCTCGGTTCCTGGTTACCGTCTGCGAGGCCCCGCCGAGCCAGCGTGGGAGGGCCGCAGGCGGCAGGCGCCGCATCATGTCAGCCAAGGACGATCGGGCCAGGGATATCCTGAGAGGCTTCAAACTGTATCCACCCGGGAGCAGGGGCGGGGCTGGGAGGAGGCCGGAGCTCGGAGGTGCGAGGCTTTGGCAGGAGCGCCAGGTGGGCACCCGAGAAAAGGGGCAGAAGGAGAGGACAGGAAAGGAACGACGTGCCCGGCCCCCGGGAGGGACCGCGAACGGGAGGCGGGCACGGGGGCACCCTGAGGGAGGAAGGGGACGTTGACGAGCCTCGTGGGGGATAGAGGCGGAGGAGCCCCGGGACCTGTCTATGAAAGGTGTCCCCTTCGGAAACCGGTGTCCCTAAGGCCAGTCGGGGCCCGGAGACGAGAAGGAGGCTGCGGCCCCGCATGCAGGGGCTGAGGGGGTGCGGCGGGCTGGCCTCCTAGCCCGACTCAGAGCGTCTTTGGCGGGAAGCCCAGGGGGAGTAAGGGAAAGTGACTCCAAGCAAGTGACCTTGGGGAGGGGGCGAGTAACCGCGTACGCTCTCGGGTACCCCACCAGATACACCCCGTCTTGTTTCTGCAACTTCTCTTCCTCACTTGTGGCTTCTAGGACTGGAGGAGTAGTGGAGAGGTGGGGAAAGAGAAATCCGAGACCTACCCCACCTTAACACTTTCTTGGCTTTTGGAACATTGAATGGTCACTTTTCTCCTCAGCCTCTCAAGTTCTTTTTCCAGCAAGATGAGGAACATGAGGTGTGTGTGATGTCTTGAGGTACTTCTGGTTTTGAACTGACTCCTGGCAGAACTGTCTTTGTTCCTTGGCATTGCTGTGGTTAATGCTTTGTTATGGTGGAGCTGTTCATGCTAACTTTATTGCGTTGAGGACACCTTACAATATAAGAAATCAGTGCTTCGGTGAGCATGATATTGAATGCCTGATATCTCAATACTTGGAAGATGGAAGCAGGAGGATCAGGAATTCAAGTCAGCCTCAGCTTCAAAGAGAGTTAGTTCCAGGTCAGCTTCAAAAGGAAGAAAGTGAGGAGGCAGAAAAGAAGCCATTGCCTCAGGCCTCTTGTAGTTGTTGTGAGACTTTTACAACCACTTTCTATATAGTAAGGGAGCTTCAATCGGTTTGTTTTGTTTCAGAGACAGGGTCACACTGTGAAACTGGATATATAGACCAGGCTGGCCTCAAATAGCGATCTCTCTGCCTCTGTCTCTAAAACGTGGTAGGGCTCAGGGTGTGGGCCAGCATCTCTGGCTAGAAGCTGTGTGTGTTGATGGACTATTTGTCACTGTAAAATGCAGATGAAATGTATTCCAGTTTTACATTCTGCTGACCTTAATCTCTGCTTACATCCCTGCTGTTCGGCATGGAATATTCGTAAGTTCCTCTCTCCGTGCAATGTAACCATCATTTAGTGAGCTCCTTCTGCCCCTGGGAGCTCAGGCTTCCCTAAACATGGTCTCAGAGCAACCTGTTGCATCTTCACAGGACCTGTTTCTCATCTTCCAATATTTAATTGCTTTTCCATAGTTAGAAACCAAGGTGAAAGTAAACTCTAGACTGCATAGCAAGGCATGATAAATCACAATTATAATCTTGGCACCTGGTGACTGGAGCAGGAAATTGTCATGTATTCGAGACCAGTGTAGGCTATAGAGTGCAGCCCTGACTCCAGAAACACACACACACACAGACACCACAGTGTGGAAAGGGGTGAAGTAGGCTGGAAGTGTAAATGAGGTCTTAGGTCTCTGTAGCACTGGAGAGAAAAAACAACACAGGAAGTTTTGGGTGCAAAAATGAAAACTCTTTGAGGGAAAACTAATCTACTGAGTTTTTGTTGGTTTGGTTTTTGAGGGTGAGCAAGTAAAGTACACTGAGAAGAAACAGCTCCCTGCAGCTGGGGGCAGGGGTAGGGAGGGAGGGAACTGAAAAATGAGCTGCCCCTGCTGTGCTTTTTAAAAACAGAAGGCTGCATCTCCTTACGTATTGCCATTCATGATAAACTCAGTGTCTTTAGATAGTAAAGTTTAGTAACAGACTCTTTTGTAGCTCTGTGTATTTTCCTGTTGGTCTTTATAATGAAAACCCTAAGCATATAAAGATGATGAAAGTGTTAGGAAAGCTGTAGCATGGCCTTTGTTTTTTTCATTGAGTGATTTAGACTCTTAATGTATATGCTGTAGATAATGAACCATAGGCTGGGGAATTGAATTCCAGAAGCAATGATTTTGTCCCATTATAAGTATCACTACTAAAAACAAATATTTGGAGTAAATGAGTGTAGCAGAAAATCTCAGACCTTGTCACCTTTATTCTTGATATAAACCTGTTGAGAAAGCTAAGGGGCAAATATAGAAAAAACTATAAAGCTAGATGTAGTGGCACACCTTTCACAAAAGGAATGAAACATTCAGGGAAAGCTGTCTTAAATAATTCTGGAGTTTATCTGTTTAAAAAAAAGTGAGTTAGCTAGGTGGTGGTGGCACATGTCTTTAACTACCCAGCACTCAGGAGACAGGTGACTCTCTGTGAGTCTGAGGCCAGCCTGGTTATAAATCAAGTTCCAGGACAGCCAGGGCTACACAGAGAAACCCTGTCTCGAAAAATCACAAAGGAAGGAAAGAAAGATTGAATGAAAGAAAGAAAGAAAGAAAGAAAGAGAGTGAATCTGCCACAGGAAACAGGCTTTCATGGAAAGCTTAACCTGAGCTGATTAAATTATAAAGCACAAGGGAAGCAGCCACACAGAAGTTAGCATGGGAGGGAAGGAGTGCTCATCCTCTGGTATCCTTTGTTGACCTGAAAATGAAGAGAAGGAAAATGGAGCTGGAGATACAGCTCAGCAGTTAAGAACCTAAGGGTGTTCATTGCTCTTGCAGAGGACCTGGGTATGTTTCCCAACACCCACATCAGGCAGTCGGCAACCTCCTATAACTAAATGCCAGGAATCTGACACGCTCTTGTCTCTTGGGACACCTGCACACATGTGGCACACAGAAAAAGAGAACAGGAACTGTGTGGTTTACCTGCTTTCATTTTTTTTTTTTTTAAGAAAGATAATTTTATGTTAGAAACATTTGATCACTCACCACCTGTTTTTGGATATTTTTTTTCTGAGCTGTTTTCAGATTGTTTATTTTAAAAAAAAAAATTGTGCTTACTACTTGTCTTAATTTTCTGTTGCTATGGTGAGACACTACAACCAAGGGAAGTTGAAGAAGAAAAAGTATGAGGGCTTTGAGGTCCAGCGGTTAGAGGCTGTGACCATCACCATGGGGAGCCTGGCAGCAGGTAGCAGACACGGTGCTCGAGCTCATCTGATCCGCAAACACTAGGCAGAGACAGCTACCAGGGAGTGTTGAGGGGTTTGAAACCTCAAAGCCCACTCCCAGTGACACGCCTCCTTCAGCAAGACCACACCTCTTAGTCCTCCCCAAATAGGCCCTCCAACAGTGAGCCAAACATTCAAATACATGAGCTTATGGAGGCCATTCTCATTCAAAATACCACATAACTATTAAAAAAAAAAAAAAGCACCATTATATTCTCCCACCAACACACTCAAATTTATATATTGACTTGTCTTTTTTTTTAGTTTTGAAAACTTTATTTCATTTGAAAAGAAAATATATTTTAAATTTTTGTATTCCTGCATCCCCAGCTCTCTGGAGAAATAATATATCCTAGAGGTTAAGTGCTTAACTAATGGGGCTGTGGCGGCCCATGCCTTTAACTTCAGTGCTTAGGAGGTGAAGGCAGGCGGATCTGAGTTCAAGGCCAGCTTAGTGTACGTGGTTTATATAGTGAATTCTAGACATTCCAGGGCTGCATAGCGAGGCACTGTCTCAAAAGAAAGAAGGGGAAGAACTGTACTGAGCTGAGGAGCTACAACTTGGAATCCTACTCCTGTGTTCTACCCCCCAATCTAAATAGGACTAATAGCTCTTACAAATCTACTGTGATATGAAATGCATTGATATCTACACCTCTGGAAAGTCATCTGGTACACAGTGAGCCTTATGTCTTGGTAGTGTTTTTATTAGTTAAGTTGCAATTTCATGTTTTTCAATTTTCTCCCGTGAACTAGTTGTTAATGTTTACCCATTTTACTGCTGTTTGCCATTTACTCTGTATACCACATCCTAGTCACACACACCCCACCTTCCCCTTTCTCCCTCCCATTCCCATCAAGTCTCCACCGCACTACCATGTCTCTCTGTCTCACTTCAGTCTTTGCTTTCTGACTCACTCACTGGTCTTAACCAGGGCTGCCTCATGTGCATGCTTGAGTTACCACACACCAGCGGAGTGTGGTAACTCTCCACATCAGTGGCTATCCCACTGAAGACAGTGACTGCTTCCACAACCACCCACTGTGTCTCCCTAAATCTCTTTTACAATTTTTACTTTGAGACAGAGTCACACTAAGTTGCCCAGACTGGCCTTGAACTAGTTATTTTCATTCTTCAGCCTCCCAGGAAGTTGGGATTTCAGGGCTGCGCCAGCATGCTACCCCCTCTCTGTCTCCCTCTCTCTCTCTCTGATTAAACGGAATTCTTTTTAAGTTTTTTTTTTAATATATCTATAACTTCCATTTGGCATTTGTCTTATTTAAGATGATCTCCCTCGTATACTCTGGTTCTGCTCATATAAATACTTTACCTTTTATTAAAGATTTTTGTGGAGAGGAACAATTTTGAATCTTAACCCAATTTCTGAGCCTTTACAGAAGCAGAGGGCATAGCTGTTATTGCTTAAGGTGCTGGTGGTCTCTTCTCCTGAGATTAATCAAATAGCCTGTTTTCTTCTTTTCAGTACTTAACCCTTTAACTCCCTGAAAAATGTTTATACTCACTATGTGTAGTAGGAATAAGCTGTTTGGAAAGTCAGCTATCCCAGTAACGTTTAGTGGCTACTTAGACCATTTTCCTCCATTGTTTTGGAACACTTAACAAACTTCCATAAGACATGGTTTACTCTTAGAATATTGTTTCATTATTTATTTCTTGCTTATGCCCGTACATGCTTAGGTAATCATCTAGTTTCACAGTATGGTTTAATATAGTTCC